CTTCACCTATGTCTTAAGTTAGACAACCAAAATTTCCGCACGACTCATGCGCATACCTTAAAAAGAACGTACCAAAATAATCAAACCTTTTCAAGAAGGTACCCAATACAAACTCAAAGGCAAGAGTTTTACCCTCAATTGGCACATATGCCACAAATATACCAATTGGACAGGCMACAACCGCCTGCACAAATCCCAAATATAAACGCTCCCCCCAGGCCACCTAGACCTCAACCAAGGCCAGAGCCTATGGAAGTTGACCAGAGTATACACTCGCGTAGAATTAATTATATGAATAGGTCACATCGGAACCAACTCCAAGGCAAGAGACCGCCATCGGTCACTAATTATCAGCCAAACAAAAATCAGAGGACTTTCCACATAGATACAACGGCGGTCGAGCAAAGCGAAGATGGAAGTGTTCAATACCGAGGATAAAATAAGATTTTACCTAATGCCTTGAATGAAAATATTTGATGGTATTTTAGGGAACGATACGCTTAGAGCACTAAAAGCAATAATACACACCGACAAAAATTATATGGTATTAAGAAACGGTTTTACTGTTAGCCTTAAACAGCTTCCTTCGCAAAGTGTCAACGTTATTAACATAAAAGAAGAAAATTTGTCTCCTAAACAGAGAGATGTTATGAGAAAAATCGTGAATACACATCCCAGGCTCTTCTCCGAGCCCGACGAGAAACTTACTTATACGACTAAAGTCGTTGGACAAATCCGGACTATCAATGACTCTTCTGTTTACACGAGATTCTATCCCTATCCAGCATCATTAAAAAGTGAGGTAGAATCGCAAGTAGAAAAACATTTAAAGGATGGTATTATACGACCCTCTAGGTCACCGTACAACTCCCCTGTGTGGATTGTACCTAAGAAAGCAGACAAACAGTACCGCATGGTCATAGATTTTAGGAAACTAAATGYTGYCACAACCGCGGACAGATATCCAATACCCGAGATATCAGAAGTTATATCTCAACTGGGAAACAGCAATTTCTTTTCGGTTCTCGACTTAAAAAGTGGTTTTGGTTTTCACCAGAGCTGGATGATATACTCCGAGAACACATTGTCTATATTGACGACATCATCATTTTTAGTAAAACCCAAGAAGAACACTTTAATCACATAAAAATAATATTTAAAACCTTTGAAAAAGCCAACATGAAGGTCCAGTTGGACAAGTGTAATTTTTTTAAAAAAGAAGCAGAATTTCTTGGCTACGTTATCACCCCGGATGGAGTAAAAACCAATCC